CACACTTAGAACATCCAGCAGAGCCAGTGCAACAGCCACCATCCCAGAAGACCAGTGAGCCTTCTGAGATAGATCCAGCAACCAAACAGCACCTTCCTGCAAACTTACCCAGCCAGCATAACAGTGACCCACCACCAACATACCTTGCATCAACGGCAAGAGGTACCAAACAAAATACAACACAAGAAGCAGGAGGTCGGGGGCGGCGCAAAGGGAAAGGGTATTCTCACCCAAAAACCTCTGCCTCAAACGAGAAGGTTTGGCCAAATTGCCCGCAACCAAAGGCAGTGGCTGGAACCTCTCTTGAAGCAAAACCACAAGCACCAATAGCTGCAGTGCAGCTTCACTTAGAACATTCCCTGGAACTACAGCACCGGACAAGTCAGCAGAAGAGTGAGCCGCCAGACCAGCCACAAGCAGCAGCATCAGGCTCATCTCTGGGTTTAAAGACAGAAAGATCTCCCAGCCCGAAGGAAGTACCACGTAGGGCAAGAAGAGTTGAGCCAAGCCATGGCAAGGTCAAAGTCAAGAAAGAGAAGGATGACAGGTCGGTGACCAGACCACAGCAGGAGCAGCAACAAAGGGCAAACCAAGAGAGCCATCTTACTGCTACAGTCAAGAGAGAAGCACACATACCACCAACACCAAATGGCATTAGGGTGGTCACACCTTTCCGTGGCAAGCGACAACAGCAGCAGCATGACAAAGCAGCCAAAAGGAAACGGCTGCGGCAAGACATGCAGACAGAACCAGAAGCAAAGGAGCAAACAGAAGGTTGGAAGGCTTTACAGGAGCTCAAGCAGCAGGTGCATGCACAGCAGCGGGAATCTGAGTCTGACACCATTCAGCCAGCAACAAGCAGTGAAAACATAGCCGATACGAGCACTGCATGTACACACAGCCGGTCCCCTACACCTGCACCTGTCGAGCAGGAAGAGGTTGGGACACCTTTAGATGAACGGGTCAAGTGCCTTATGCTGCAGGAAGGGGCTTGGAAGCAGTTTGTGAAAGATGGAAGTGGCTGGATCTTACGGAGCTATGCCCTTCGCAAGCTGCCGTACGCTCCAACTTTCTACATTGTTGTTATTCCGGGAACTGGTTGCAACTGCCTGTTTGTTGGTAAGTTGGAGGTCGACGACTGCAAGGAGGCACCAAATTAAACACGTCAAAGTGAAGTATTTGAAGTGTTTCTGTTTGTGTCAATTTTGGGTGTATATATATATATATGCATATATATTAGCATGTCATATATATAATACATGTGTGTGTGTCACCTCCCGTCTCCAAGGAGAATGGCCACATCCCTCCAAACTAACTTTAGATAACTACTTTGCCCACATTGCATTCTGTACAGAAAGCAGGGGGACTGGAGCCGATTTGCCTATCCAGTCCAACGAAGCTAGGGCATTTTGGTGGATGAGTGGTCTGATCAGGTCTAATTACGTGTAAAGGTCTACTTGCAGTAACACTGGAGTTCACCAACTGGTATAACTCTTGCGAGCATGGATCTAAGCGTGTTGTATGTACCCGGCATGAAGCTACACCATACTATACTCCCCTGTATGGACATGTTGTTTTTCTTCGCGGGAGTGCAACATCAAACCCATTTCTAGCTCTTGGTGTGCCAGATTCCCATCAGGTAAAGCGCAGCTGCCACATTACCAGCTTCGCTTCGAGCACCGATGAGGCAAAAATTTGGATTAAGAAGAAGCAGGATGATGCTGACCGCAAGATCTTTGCATGGAGAGTCAGCAAAGTCACCGAGTTGGAGCCCCACCCGATCAAGTTCACAAGCAGCAAGTTTAAAAACAGGCATTTTGTGTGTAAGAAGTCACAGCTTGTGGGTGGGTTGACCCTGGAAGTCCCTCAGCCATCCTTATACAACACACCTACGTGGTTCATGAAACTGTTGCCGCCGGCTTCATACCAAGCTTTAGCACAAGCTGCCCATGAGCTGGATGGGTGCACTCTGAAGATGGGGACAACATGCTCCGGAAGTGACATTTGTGTTGTGGCAGTGAAAGCCATGCTGGTCGCCATGAGCAAAGAATTCCAGGCTCCATCGTTTCATTCCTAAATGTTCTAAGTGTGTATCCCCAGGAGCACACACACACAAAGATCAAGAGCACATGCTTCAAAGTATTGTGTACATGTTGATACGGGGTATCCCCTCACAACCTTGCTCCCTTTGAGGTGGAGATTGGATTCAGACACATATTTAGCTGTGAAGCGGATCCTGCCAAGAGGCAATACCTCTTGGATGCCTTCCCTGAGACTGAGCACATCTATGACGACAATCTTGTGTTCTCAACGGGAGAGGGCTATTGCCATGTATGCAGGACAATCCACAAGATCACCACTGACAGCATGGACATAGACGTATTCTTCTGCGGTCCCTCTTGCAAAGATCTCAGACACTTGGTTGAAACATGTTGAAACCAATTATGACTGTCCCACAAAACAACAAACCAAGACAGGTGGGTGGTGGAAAGCTTTCTTTTTAAGGCGGTTTGTTGCAGGAGCCTATCATTTCAGTTTTCACAAGTATTGCCAAGGCAATTTGAAAACACAGCGCGCAGCTTTTGCAGGGTGCTATGAGAATGCGGGGGCAGAGCCTGATGGAACTTCAGCTGCCACATACAAACACGGCTTCAAGGCTGTATCTCAACTTTGCATGAAAGTTGGTATGTGTCTTTTTTAAACCATGGTTTTGCCATAATGTCGACGTAGGATTAATCAACCCCCCCTTCAAGGTCAACAAGGTCAACAAGGTTTGGGAGTGGAGGGATTGGAGACCACATCCCCTTAACAAAGATGATGACCTGATGATGGATGATGAGATGAGGACCTGGACCTGATGATGGGTGATGGTTGAGTGTATGGGACATGAGGAGATGAGAGTTTGAACCATGAACCATGAGGACTCTGAGTGTATGGGCACAAGTGTGATGGATGACAGGATCAGCATGAGAAAAGGGTGGATCAATCCTATGTTGACATTACTGGACCCTTATACATATACACATAAATAGTCATATGCACAGTAGACCTTGCACTTTACAAGATGCCTATGTGGCACTTGAGGTCGTCCAACGTTTGAGCCCGGTGCTGTCATTCTATGAGAATGTCCGGACGGTTGCGCACAGAACTAGAGACAGCAAAGGTGAGTGGCACCGGCCTGCAATAGAAGTTGCTTGATCAAAGTTTCAACACCAGGCCTTTTTGACAAGGATGTGTATGATTGTTTTTATTGTCTCGCAAATGTATACAATTGTGTATGTATGTCATACAATATGTCTGCTCATTTTTTGGGTTATCCACCAAGTTGCTGGGCTGAGGTGGTCGAAGAAGACTTTGTACGTGCAGGCTACCATTTTGACATTTGGCTGCATGTGGTCAAACAAATGCCCCTGACCCTTTCTGTTTTGTTTTCCCAGAAGCTCAAACATGTTATCTTATTCTTTCAACCTTTCAAATGTTCTAAGTGAGACCAGGCCCATGCCCTCTTGGATTCCCAGCACTTCTTAGTACGCCAGCGGAGAAATCGCATTTGGGGAGCTGCTGTTTGCAACACGGGAGATCAATCTGCAAAAGACTTCAAGGAGTCCTTCAGGGAAAACATTGAAGCTTTGCAAACGCATTGTCATTTCAACATGGATGAGTGCTTTCTACAGGGCTTGCCTCCAGAGAAGCTTCGAACAAAACGCGAAAGGGACCTGAAGGACCAAGCAGTTGAGAAGTCACTGAGAGACACTTGTCGGTGCAAATGGCAACACTTAGAACATTTGATGCTGTACAATCCACGCCAACCTCCCTTCTTTTTCTCAACTTATGGACACTTCTTTTTAGGTTGGGTATCTAGTCGTTGGCAGCTGGGTTCTCAAGTTTTTCATTGTGGTGCCCTTATTTAGTAGTTGAGTGGAGGGTAGCTTAGCTAATCTAGCTTTGGACACCCTTGCTGGGTTCACACTTAGAACATGCACAGGGACAAACCAATCCACGGGATATCTGAGGCTGGCCAGGGATCTAACATTTTCTTTGATTGCAGCAGTTCCACTTCTCGTGATGTGGAGTCGGCTACGGAGGTCACGACGTGCATTACTCCACAGCACAGTATCTATTCAATTGCTCTGGAAAGGTTCTTGCAGCCCATTGAACTCCTGGCAGGGCAAGGGATTTGGCGGGATGACTCAGAGAACAAAGCAGCTTTTGACAAGATGGCAGCCAATTCAAAGTTGTCGCAAGACTTAGCCGGCAACAGCTTTACATCTACTGTGGTGCAGGCCATGTTCCTCACAGCAATGGTGTCATCTTCACACTGGGTGGGTATTGTCGCGGGTTCTCAGACAGAGTCTCCTACCCCACAGCCACAGCCATCTGAAGCCAGAATTCCTACGAAGTCCGGGAAAAGAAAAGCAAAGGTTGCGTTGGAAGACAGCAAGAGCAAAGAATCTGAGATGGCAATGGTTAGTGTGGCGGATTCTTCTGGAAAAAGTCAGCCATCCTCGGGAAGCGTGCAAGATGGTGAGGACAAGTTGGTTGAGCGTGAACCTGATGACAGCCATCCGTCCAAAACCCGATTCCGACTGAGAGGCAAGAAGAGTCCAGCGCATCTTTTCCAAGTGTCCACTTCAGTGAAGCAGAAGAAAGGGAAAGGCTTTGGTGGAAAGGGCAACCGACGAGCCAAAGGGAAGAAACCGATGGCTACAATCGCCCAGAAAGAAAGAATATTTCAAGAGTTTGAGAAAGCCCGTGAACACCAAACCAAGGCTGCAGCCCTGAAGAGTGTGGCAAAATTGGGCCTTCCGGGGTTCTATCCTGGATGCTTGTACCAATCAAAGTGGGGGTCTGTACGGGAGGAACAACGTTGGACACTCCTCCTTCAGACGGCTCCGGCACTGTGTTCCAAACACAAAGAATTGCCCAATTCTTTGAGAAGAATTCTCAACATGGAAAAGCTCAAGTTCTCAGAGACAACCACAGGTGGTCCTGTAAAGACCCATTTACCCTTTGTCTTTCAGGAAGTCGTTGAGAATATGACCATGGAACGCATCTCTGCTGGTGAAGAGGTCTCCACAACATACATCAAGCACCTGATCTTGTTCCTGGCGGAAATTTGGAACGAAACCATAGAGACCATTGGGACTATGCTCCAAACAAAGGGCTTGGATTATTTGAAGGAGCACGATGAAGAGCTCGCGGAGATGAGTCAAGCTGAAATGGATTGTGTCTTTCAGAAGATGGTTGAACGCCAAGAGGAATTGCTGGCACCAATCCATTTGACAGAAACCGATGGTGCTTTGGTGCCACTTGGACATGAATGGGGCATTGCGTGTAAATTTTGCAAACTCGTAAAGAGGGAGGGTCACTTTTGGCCCAACACTGTTGAATACAGTTCAAACATATAAATATCTATCACTATTTACTATATATACTCAAATATGTCTGCTATGTTCTTGCAATCCTTCCCAAATCAGGCTGTTCTAGAAATGTTCTAAGTGTACAGGTGCATGTCAAGTGGCTGATGTTTGCAAGTGAGGAAGCAGGTGCAAAGACTATGCACCAAGTTTGGGCTCAAAAGCCGCAGCAATGAAAAGCCTGGATCTCACCTGCCTTTTGAACATTCATCCCCGGAGGCGGTCCGGACATACATCTCCAAGACAGCGGTCGAGAAAGGAGTCCATGGCAGGCTCATAGCAAATGCAGATCAGGTCTGGAGCCTGTTGTTCCGTCCCAACAAGAAGTGCCTGCAAAAGGCTGCATCGGCTAAGGGGCTCAGATCAGACCCGGTGATGAAATCGAAGCTAATGCGACAGATCAGACACAACATCGAGAGAGCTTTAGACATTCCATTCAGTGAACCTGATCCTGGCGCATTCACTCACAAAACGGAGTTGAAGCCTATTCAAATCACTGGCGGTCCCGCAGCCACAGCAGTGGTTGACGAGTGGCGTCTGCCACGGACGGTAACGACATTGAGTTTCCGAGACGGTTATCTTGGTAGAGCTTACATTACCGTCAGAAGCGGCTCTCTACCTGAGAAGACACGTGAACAGCTCAACACCAACTTGCAGAAGTTCATCTTCATAGCCCCACCGCAAGAAAAGACTCATGTGTGGAGCCGGGTGACCTTTATCAAATATTTGACCTTCTTGGCAGAGGCAGATTGGAGTTTTCCAGTGCCAAATGTTTGAACACACGGTCAACTCTTTCCTGAACCTATTTTAAAAATATTAGATTTCTGTTCCATTGGAGTGCATTGTTCTAAGTGATGGATCCTGCCACCCTGAGAGGAGTTCAGAATCCGACGGCGAATGCTAGGGCTGACAGCAAAGGACCGCGGGCTCATAATGCTAGATCAAGCTGGTGCACACATGGGCAGGCTATATGAACGAATTCAACACAACTGGTCGGTTCAACACAACATTGTCACTTGGCCTCTGCATTTAGTAGGCGAGACACACACTTAGAACAGTTTTGGGGTTATGTTTTGTGTTTTTTGTTAGTCCTTGTATGTACTGTAAATATATATATATATATATTATATACATAATTTTGCATATGGGTGGTTTATCAATTTTGGGACGACATTGCCTTTCCCTTAAAAAGACACAGCCACATGTTTTGTCATTTCTGGTGTTACTCTCACATCATGAGTCAGGAAGTGATGACAGGGCATAGCGAAGTCCCTGTGCCTGGGGGCTTCGGAGCAGCGGGATCCCCAAATGACGGATTCCATCAAGTGCTGCACAGCCTTACCAAGTCCTACACCCGTGTTTCCATTGGCTGGGGCTGTGAGCCACGGCTCAGGAAGCGTCTGGATGAGTTGCAGTTTGGGGTTCAGGGAGCACCAAGCACCAAGCTCCTTGGCAACTCGTTGGGGGTACAACTCGTTAGGGGTACATCAAATTCCTGATTTGGGCATATTGGGATTCACCACCATGTATATAGTAATCGGTAGCAATGGTGCTGAGGTGCGGCATAGACACTTCTATCAAAGCAGACGCGTGGGCAATCCAGCAGCTCTCTGGTGAACGGCAATTTGCATGCAATGCGTGTATCTAAGTGATTATTTTTCCTGTTCTCCTGCCTCACGCGTATGGATCTCAAGTTCACAAGTGGCATGCGCATGTCTTTTTAATGAACATGTATGTGTGTGTATCCATACAAATATAAATAAGTATATATATATATGTTTTTAATATATAGACAAAGAGTTCACATTAGGCAAAGGCAAATGTTCTAAGTCCACTACTCTGAGGCACAACCGCCTGATCTGGCTCGCATGGGTGCAGCGCGGATATTGCACGCTGCAAGACATTGCTGACTGGCGATATGAGGGTCCCTTGTAGTTTAAACTAATGCATGTGTTTGTGTCCAGTACCAAGCTCCACCTCGGTAGGAAGCATCCTGTGGGACACAAAATGAGTACAAACACCTGCTTGCCTGTTCTCATATTCACCAAGAATAGATTTTCATCTTAGGTGAATTACACGTCGTGGAGGATATGATTCAGAGAACCAGGAGCAGCATGCAAGATGTTTTGGAGCTAATGGACATTCCTGATGTTGATGGCGTTGAGGATGAAAGCATTCAGCACATGCGGTTGTGCGAGTTGGTTCCGAGGCTGCAATCAAGCGTAGCACATTGTTAGACACACACTTAGAACATTTTCTTGGAAAGCGCAAACCAACTTTCCATACAACACTTTTTATGGGGACATGAAGAAAGCACCTGTTATATGGTTCAATAGATTTTAAACCATACATAGTTATTTCAAGCTCATTGTGAGACAATTTCCAAGGAGGGTGAGCAGAGCCACATGTGGTGCATCCAAGATGAAGACTGCCGGCGCATCTTGCCCCCTTGGATGAGCCAAATCCTTGAGATTCAAGTGTGCCAATATGTGAGTGAGTATGAGAAGTGGTCTACAAAGATCAACAAACGAGCAGCGGAGGGAAAACCCCTCACAAAAACCCAAGCAGATTTGTACAACAGGTGGCAAGCTGACTGCGAGAGAAAACTTATCTTCTGCAAGCAGCGCAAGAAACTCATCAGTGATGCCAAGGAAATCTCTCCGAGCTGCATCGCTGTAAAGCTTCATCTAAGCGATGAACCAGAGATGCTGCAGCTTTCAACTGGTGGGAGTGAGCAAAAATACCGGTTGATGTTGTTGCGTGGTGACAAGCCAGAAGCGGAGATTGGAGCTGTGCCCGATGCTTTGGATGCACCTGTTCCTGCTGATATGATCCCTGTGCCGGGAGAGGATTCAGTGAGTGAGCAGGAAGAAGAAGTCTTGGATGGTGCAATTGACAACGGTGAACCTGCTGCAAACGATGAAGGAATGGTTTCTGAAGCGGAAGGTGATACTTTGGAGATTTTGGCTGATACAGATGATGACCTGGACCTCCTTGATATTACAGTCGGTGCCGGTGGGGATACCAAATCTGTGGCAAAAGTCAAGTCCTTCCATCACAGAGATGCTTGGCAGAAGCTCGAAAAGCTTGGCCTCGTTGCCATACCGACCCACGTGAATGGATGCAGCATCGGATTCCACCGGACTTCCAACCAGTGGCAGGGGTACTACCCCAACTGCCACGAGGGGCTTTCAGCCCGTTTCGGTGGAACGACAAAGCGCTCTGAGTGTGAGTCGATAATCAAGGTAGTTCGAGGGATCCTGGTCGCTCACACACTGAAATATCCAAAGGACAAAATGTGGAAGCTTCAGTTGAGCAAGGTCCAGGCCGCAGAAGCAACCCAAACCTTTTGATTTTGTTGAACCGTTCTAAGTGCATGTGTTTGCAAGGAGTTCCAATCATCAGTAAATTAACAACGACACCAATACCAACAACAGGTCAACTGGACTGGCTTGCTTCTGGATTGCATGCTGAAATAAATTCATGAGATCTGCTGATGCACACAGGCATCGCTGTTGCCCGGTGATGTCTTTCAAGAAGCCATGTATATGGAAAGGTTCTAAGTGTTGAGTCAACAACCAAGGAAGCTTTTGGACAGTGACACTATCTGCCATTTATTGTGTAATTTTGTCAGGCAAACAAACACAAGAATGGGAATGTGTAGATGCTTTGGGTGAACTGTGGACGGAAAACATGCTGGATGCCAGGTACAGGTGCAAGGCAGTTCAGGGTGGCCATAGCAAGTGATTGAGTTCTTTTCTGACTCAGTTGCAAGTGACTAGGAAAAAGCTGTTGGTGTGCTTTGTGATGATCTTCTTCATAAAAGCAATGGCCACCTTTCCATCCAACCACACCACTTGCGCCACACGCTCGTGCACAATGGTTCCCCCACGGCGGCCCAGGTTTCTTTGGGTGAATGAATGGTGATGTTTTTCTTATGGGTTGTTCTGATTGTGCTATTCAATGTTCTAAGTGTTGGTCCCAGCAACCAAATTGAGGGCATTTTGGCGGCTAGCAGTAGTGAATCCAAGTTCTTGATGCACAGGGGCCACCAAGGTATCTTTAGGTGCAACACTCAGTGGTATTGTGAATGCCCCCACAGAATAGATCCATGTATATAATTGTGTAACTATATGTTCTATATGTTCTAAGTGTTGCGGCAACGAGCAAGGAGTGGCTTCTTGTCAACACTAGCTGTGTGGAGTTTGTGGACATGCAACTGTACAACAAATACATATATATATATACGTAGATAAACCGCTCTGTGTATATATTTATATAACATAAATAGTGGGAAAAAGCGTGGACTGGAAGCTGGGTGCTGTGTACAAGAGCCAGGCGTTCTGTGGTGGCCATGGCCAGTGATATGAGTTTCCTTTCAGAAGGCTGTTGCATTTTTAGGTGCAACTTGTTTTTCCGTGAGAGCAATGGCCACCTTCCGTCCTACCTCACTATATATTTGCTTGGGGAGCTATACGCTCTTGGACCATTTGTCCAGCAGCAGCCCTGTGTCCCTGCTTCTGTGCATGAATTATCATTGCTTTGGTACGTGTTGCTTTTGATGCTCTACCCAATGTTCTAAGTGTTTGGCCAAGCAACCAGATTGAGGGCATGCTGGGCGGCTAGCAGTTATGGGCAATCACAGCAAACGCTTCTTTCTCTCTGTGCTATATAGAATAGGTTGCTACCTGGCATAGGTTGAGTTGTCACATGGAAATGATGAGCGGTTCATTGCTGGAGGAGAACCTTATAGGTGGATGTTCTAAGTGTGGGACCGAGGAAGTGACTGAAACCCTCCATGACCAGCACCTTCTTCAAAATGTTTTGCTCAATTCTTCCTACTGCAAAGATTGCCGTGTTCGATTCCCTGGATGTGTACACAAGTGACATGTCCATGCCTGAAATCCCAGGCTCTGTAAAATGTATACCCTCTGTGTTGAACTTTCAGCTGCAAATATGCGCACACTGTGTGTAAATAATTGTAAATATAATGTTCTTTTGATGGTCAAAAGTTGGACACAAAACTTGTGAGAGCCTGGGTTTAAGGTACGCATGCCCGACTCAGACAAAGTTTCAGCAGTATGCGCAAAAATGCTTGCTGTGTGCTCAAGATGTGCAGCCTCATTAATGCTTGCTTGATGTTCATTTATCACCGACCTTCACAAATAGAATCAGGCTTTTGTATGCTCACCCCTAACCAGAAATCTATGCAAACATACAAAGTGACGGACACCCACTGTATGAATAATTATGAAATAGTCTAACCATTGTTCTAAGTGAGCATTTTTGTTCTAAGTCTCAATGTTCTAAGTGTGGTGTTCCTGTTTTAGTCTAAGTGTAGGTTTGAAATTTTTGGAAAAATATATGTTCTAAGTGGGTGTCCGTCACTATAGAGAGAGAGAGAGACACTGAGACACTGGTACACACACACACACGTAGAACAGGAGACTCATGTAGAACATAGAAATCATTTGAAACTTGTAGAATCTCCGTTTCCACAACTAGAGCAGGCACATTGCCGTAGATTGGAGAATCTTCGACCACTGGACCACCCAATCGGACACTGTTCGGTCGTGCCTTGTGTTTTCACCGGTGGTGCTGCAGATCTGGAGAAGAGTTCCATCCAGAACGGATCTGTTTGAGTGCTTCACCCATCAGTCGCATGTGTTGTGTGGCATTCCTTCGATCGATGCTGCAGGAAGGGAGACAAATCTGCGAAGGCCTTCATCATGTCCCAGGAAACCCTGAATCAAGCCCCAACTGTGAGCCGCAGGGTGGACCAGGGTCATTTGAGTCATCTTGTCATGATTTTCTAATTTAAAGAATGCTTTGCAATGTGAAGAACTTGACAAGAACCTGTAGCAAAAGGGCTTGGTTACGTGTGATTGCTGGGTTTTCCAAGCCTTGGCATCCCAATTCAAGAAATGCCGCGAGCAGTGGGGGGCAATTGCCTGTTTGGAAGGACCAGAAGCGGTGGAATGAACACACCCAGAAGATCCTGGATGCGATCCAGGCGACGGGTGTCTCCGAGGTGTCCATGTGGACGAGGTCGTGGGTTCTGGCCATGGTCCTGGTCGGTGTGTGTGATCTGCGGTTTTGCCCACCTGGTGCTTTGAGGATCAGCTTGGACAGCCCGTCAGTTTTGGGCGGTTTTTCGATGCTCACGGTTTTTCATTAGAGGTGACCCACTCTGCAGATGGGCACTTTTGCGTTGCCCCTTTGAGCACATCTTAGCACTGGCAGGAACAGGACCGGCAAAAAGATACTGATGTAAAAGAGCGGCAGGCGCAGATGGAGTCTGAGCGAACGGTGAAGCGAAATGAATTGGGCGATCATGGGGTGTATTGGAATAGGGAGGCCCTCCAACCACTACGGCACCGTAGGCTTTATATAGTCGATCTTCCTTGTTTCGTTGTCTTTTGGAGTTTGGAAGTCTTCCGGGCGGTCTCCCTATCTCAATACACACACAGAGATTCATTGCTTGAGGAAACATCAAATCACACTCCAGACGAGCCTGGAAGCAGCAGCGTGAAAGCTGCCATGAAGGGGTTTTGCTTGGGGTCTCTTTATTGGATTCCATTCCATGTTTCTTTAAATAAATCAGTTGTTTGTTTCGAGATGTTCCTTCGTACTGTACGGTTGTGTTTCTCAGGACGACACACACACACAGATGTTTTCCACAGCAACTGTATCCTCCACTACCGCTCATGCCCCCTTTTCTCGGTGGCTGGGCTGTGCACGAAGACGCACACATACAAGTGGTTGATGAAAGAAGCAATGCCACATCCCTAAGAACACGTGTGATTTACATTGATTCACACCAGGGACCAAACAATCTCAGTATTTTCTTGGCTTCGTCTTGCATCGCGTCCCTCCACTTCCGTTTGGTAGGTCCCTTTCCTCCACCCCGCGGTCTCCCATGCCTTCGCCTTCCGTGGCAGGTGGCGATCCTCTTCTCCGAGCTGCCGAGCTTTTGGCCGCTGCTGCCCTCCTCGGTGGCCCCGGACAGCTTGGAAGGCGAGCTGCACCGTGAGGAGCCGCACACGGGCCTTTATGGGGAGGGGTCTAGGGGTGGTCTAGTCGGTGAGGTGGCAAAGGTGGGCGCATGTGGACATTTGGTGTGTGGTAGTAGGTAGGATGTAGTAGGTAGGGGGTGATAGGTAGGGTGCTGCGGGGGGTCGTAATTCATCGAGGAGGGCTTGATTTATAGGTCTCCCATGTCAGAGCTTCCAGGAGGACCCACAGATGCGGCCGGCGGCTGTGCGGCAGAACCGGCTGCTGCTGGAGCCGCAGACCCTGTGGCGCTTCCGGCGGAATGAAGTTTTGGTTCTGGTGCAGGCTTTGGTACCGGTTACGGTTGGAGAGTTCGGACGACCGGACTTGCTCGTTCCGGCCGGAAGTTCTGACTCCATTTTTGGTGACTCCTTTTTTTGAGAGATCGGGATGAGTCATTCTGGACCCAGGAAATGCTGCAGGCCTCGGCCAATCGTCTCGATTTTTGCTGCCTTGGTAAACTGGCCATCGGGATGTGGTCGAACTCTTTTGTGTCCTGACTCGGGACTCCTGAGGGTGTCCAATGCGAGAAACACAATGATAATCTTTCCATTGACTCATTGTACTCCACCTGGTAGTCATCATCCACCGCCACCATAGGGGTCAATTGAGTCACAACACTCTCAGGGCTTCCAATGGTTTCTGCCTGTCCATTCGGCCTGTCCATCGAGCACGTGCTCGCTTCCCTGGCAGCGGAAGGTGTTGAAGTCCTGGACCTTGGCGTCTTGGCCCAAAGGCGGTGCTGAGATGGGCATGGACCGGGCCAGCTTCTGCAGGCGATACGTAAGCGCGTTGGTTCTTTCGCGACCGCGATGAGAGGTTTTTCGACATTTGGGTTGAAGAGGTGTAAGAGGCAGAAGAGGCAAGAAAAAAGAGGAGTCAGACTCCTCGAAGTAGCAATGGAGAAGTAGATTTAGAGGTGAAAGCCCAAAGTGCTAGGAGCTGATGGTAAAATTTGTCTTTGTGAGCTTGTCTATATATGTTGCAGCATCCCTGCAACAATGGCTGAAGTGGCTGAAGTTTGAAGTGTCATTTGGAGCCTTTTGTAAGGGTTTCCTCATTCTATCATTCTCGTTCATCTCCATATGGCAACTGGGGCAGAGGTGTGGACAACGGTACTTCTGGAGAATTTCCGAGATACCATTGGTTCCCCCTTCGACAGAGATACCTCCTTCATCTTCCACTCCTCGGTTTTTGCCGCGACCCAGTGCCTTGGGGTGGACGTGCTTGCGCAGGTTTATCTTAGATGTGGGCCTGGCTGATCAGCGGAAGGTCCCCTTCTTCTGGGCGGTGCATCTCTTCGACAGCTGCGCCAAGTGGATGAGATACTGCGCTGTGGACGACCCCATGCCAGAGACTGCACCGCTTCTGCAAGTGCCTTAGACGCAACATGGCAACACGGTCACCCGCAGCACAGTGCCTTGTAGCCCGAGCTTCAACAACTTCTTGTACCAGTATATGTTGACTGCCACTGTTTCACTTGACCGTGCCCGTGTCGTACGTTGTGGCTTTGAAACGCGATCAGTGACCACAGAGTTTGCAACCTTTCTTGACAGATTTTTGACAGACTCGTTTTTTTAATGTCTTTTAGCTCGTGTTGTGTTCTTAAGGCACCAATTCAACGGGGCTTGTGGGTGACTTACCTGTGACGACGGGCGGTGTTCTCAGGTTTTCTTTCAGACCCTGCCACGCGCAAATCCGGCAAAACTAATCGCAGAATGGTCACCAGCTCCTGTAGATCCCGAGCCCATGGTAGTTAATGGTAGTTATACAATGTTATACACAGGCCCCGCTTGCACGGCTCTTCCCGTCGGGATCTGCCCGGCTGGACCATCTGCGTTCGTCGTGCGCTGGACCGTCGTGCGCAGTTCGTGGCTCCGAGGTGGTGACCTGGTGGGAACTCTTTCCGAGCCTCAGCGGTGACTGACCGGGGATGTCCTGCCGAGTCCTCCCGGGGATGTCCGGCGGGGAGGCTTTCAAGGATTGGAGAGGGTTGGTGCATTTTTGGCGTTTTTGTCCAGGTGCAGTTCAGTTAAAAAGGAAGATGTCCTCGGACTCTGCGAGAGATTGCAAGAGGCCTCCTTTGGTAGAGTTTTTTGGGCAAGGATCCTTAAGATTCACATTTGGATATGTGTTTTCTCATGCTTTCTCCTCCCTCTCACTGACACGCATCCTCATGAATGGTAAAACACGGGTGAGCATCCCCGAGACCAAAAGGGGTAGTTCGCCCCGAAAGACAAGCCGTCTCAGTAGTGATTTGGTCCCAACGTTTGTAACGGCTGCTAGCCAACGACGGCCAGAAGAGCCGAATCGGAGAGGGATGGGGTGGGGGTGGGTTTTCAGCATGGTAAACCTATGACCCGAAGAGAAGGCCTTTAGGTCTCAGAAGGTGACGAGTGGTGACGAGTGTGACACATCGTGGCCGCGACCTCAAGCTTGCGATCACAGGGAATGGCTCTTTCAACGATCAGTGATCAATCTGCTAGTCACCACCTGCGACATAGTTCCCTCAAACAAACTGTTGTACCATTTGTGCGAGACCTCTGTTGGTTGCTGCTGTGCAGGTTCTTCGTCCTCAGCAGTGACCCTGTGACATAAGCGTGTTGGGTTCCAGTCTTGCTGACCATCGGTTCCACGTGTGCATCGCTGCCTTGCACTCCCCGTAGTCCTTTCGGGCATTGCCCCCGACTCGTCGACGGAGGATCGTGGACGCCCTGGCACAGCAGCACTTCAGGACGTGCGAAGCGAGCGAGCACGGCGAGTGCTCTGTGAAGTGAGATGGTTCGGGTGGTTCGTGGTGGTTCGGGTGGTGAAGGGGTGAGCCCGAACCCGTGTTGGGCGATTGTTTGCAGGTCAGACCGCTACCCAGGGATCCCTCTGTCATTCTGAGCTGTCAATGGTGAAGTCATTCTGAGTCATTCTGAGTCATTTTCCTGGTGAAGACATCAACGGCCAGAAAACCACCCAGAAGAAGTGGTTCCCATCAACTTCGCTCGCAATTGGTCGGTGAGCATCCCAACTGCGAGGGTCACGCTCCTTTCCCGCGGTGTTTGGACCGGTTTTCTCCGAACCAGTTAGAGTCGGTAGTTAAGTGTCTTGCCACAAGACACTTCAAGAAACACAAAGTCTCTGGCAGTTCCTCTTGAGAAGAACCTTCATCACCCCCCCCGCCTACATGACGCATCCGCAAGTTCGAGACCATCCTGTCACTTCGACTCAGAGCCCCCCCCCTGTCCCGAAGCAACGCCCACGGAGATGCCGTGAGTTCCCATGAACCGAGGAGTGACTCAACATGATGTGGACCGGTTCTTCCTCTTACTCCACCAAAACATCAATCAGTTTGCAAGCTTGTAGCCCTTGTGGCCATCATACTTCGAAGATAGGAGTTCCCAACAACTGCCTGTCTCCATCGGATTTGTTTGAAACAGATCCATAGCGGCTGCACAGGACCACTGCGTCCAATCTCCGCTTGAAATTCATTGAGCAAGTGGCGCCTTGGCCGTCCAAGTGGCGCCTCGCCAGGGGACCCTGCAGGTCTTGTGTTTGTCAGCTTGTGCTTCTATGAGTTCCTGCAACAAACACCGGGTTGTGACCCCACACCCATCCACACCCAAACATGGTACGGATAGACCATCCTATATTCGTGGGACCCACACATGGTTTTTTTCGCGTAAAAGGACTCGACTTGCCAGCGAGGTCGTTTTCACGAAAGAGCAAGCTCAGTTCAACCACCAAGAATCAACAGCAGCCAATGTTTCAGAGGCATTTCTTTTGTCTTTATATAGAGCCCCCAAATAGATAGAAAAGTAGATTTCCATTTTTTGGAGACCACTATAGGCAGTGGTCGCCCAACGCGTCGCTTCGACCAACCGCGGAGTGCCCAGCTTTCACCCAGGCGGAGATCGCGCGCTTCTTCGTGCCAAGCTTCGCCCAGAAGGTGATCAACATCGGCCGGGAGTATTTAGCACCCTGTCGTGTGGGGAGTGTGTACTGCAATCGGCTGGTTGGAATGATCCTTTTTGGGGTGCCAAGCCTGGTTTTGGTTGCTTTGGCCTTGGTTGCCATGAGGAAGGCCGGCAAGAGGTCGTCAAACTCAGCTGGCTTGCATGCTTCAGCACAGTTGGGTGAAGACTCAGCTGGCTCAGTTGAGTGAAGACTCGCCGGGAGCTCCGTGTCTTTCAATTCGCTGGGATCTCCGTGTTTCTCAGGAATTGATGCTCCAAGGCGCGACGGGTTCGTGGTTCGTGCGGGGTTTTCGCTTCATGCATGGGACAGGGGGTCACTTGGATGAAGCTTTGGAGGCTCAGAGAGTGGTGCGCTGTGGAGGCCCCATTTTTTGGTTAAGCTGATATTCATTGACCTTTTCAAAACACCATAAACATGGGGCCTCCACAACGTACTTTTCTGTTGTTTCAAGTCTTGAAACTTTGTAGCTTTGGGATTTGGAAGCTTCGTTGTCGAACTTGAATCTGTATTTCTGTAATGCCTGGCTGCCTAAGCCAACTCCGGTAAATGCACGGAACGTAAAGAGAACTATGGAGGGTTCTTTGCCAATCCCTTAGTGAGGCTTGCATCTCAGAATTAAACTGAACCTTGACTCGGACACATAGATCCAGCTGCTGCTTTGCAAGGAAGAAAAGACCCAGAGCGAATCAAAAAGAAAGAAACGAGTGACGTGACCACTCCCAGTAGCGACCGTTGGCTGCGTCGCTCACATCCACAGATAGGTCTTCTCTACATGTTTGGCTGAGTACCAACAGAAGAATCCCCCCTCTTCCTCGCGCGACGAGGCGTGGGAGTGGAAGAGGAGGAGAAGGCCCCAGAGGTCTGGAGATGGTTCCTTTGTTACTAGTAGCTTCTTGTTACTAGTAGCAAGAATGCTCCTAGTAGCGATGCCAGGAGTCCCTAGTAGCGTCCTTGCTCCCAGTAAGGCCAGGAGCCTCGTTCGTAGCTTCTTGTTCCTAGTAGCTTCTTGTTACTACTAGTAAGGCACCTGTTACT